CCCCGGCTCCCTGCAGGGGACACACGGGGACGGGTCGGCATGCGGGGAGCCATCCTGAGGACATATGTCTGCAATGTTGTCTTCAAGGCTCTCTTGGAGGTGGGCTTCATTGTGGGCCAGTACGCCTTGTACGGGTTCCAGCTGAAGCCCCTCTACACCTGCAGCCGCTGGCCCTGCCCCCACACTGGCAACTGCCACATCTCCCGGCCCACCGAGACGACTATCTTCATCCTCTTCATGCTGGGGGTGGCCTGCGTGTCCTTGCTGCTCAACATGGTGGAGATCTACCATCTGGGTTTCACCAAGTGCTGGAAGGGGCCAGGCCCCAAGTCCTGCGTCCTGCCCAGTCCTGGTGGTCCTGCAGGTCCCTGCAGCTCCCACGTCACCCTGCCTGGCAGCAGCAGCCCCACAGGTCCTGGCAGAACCCCCCCCAGCCTCGCACCCCTGAAGAAGGCGGGTGCATGGCTAGGGGTGGCCAATGGGTCCCACAGGAAGGTGCGAGGGGCAGACCTGGCAGTGTGAACGGGGCCTGATAGGATGCTCTGGAATGGGCAACACATGGGTGGCCACAGTGGTGGCTCTGTCTCTGAGCCCTGCCAGGCTTGTGCCATGGACCCCCGAGCCAGCATGAGATGGGCTCCATGAACATGGCTCAGCCACACCCTGTGCTCCTGGGAGCAAGGGGGCTGAGAGTAGGGCTGGGCTGGGGCTCATCAACCCAGGGGGGCAAATAAAACACCTACTGCATGTCATCCGCCTCCTGCTCTGCCCACAGGCACCGCGGCATCGCTCTCCAACTGGTCCATCTCGTGGACAGGCTGCATGGCTGTGGCAGGGCCACTGCAGCCCTATGGGCAGGGGCTGGTACACACAGGTACCGGGTCAGGAGCCATCCCAGCACACCAGAGCTGGCAGCATCCCAGCAGCCAGAAAAGGTAGGAAGTGCAGGCAGGGCTGGACAGGAGCAAGGTGCACAGCAGCAGTGGGACACTAGCCCTGCTCTCCTGAAGAGCCCACCTGGTCTGGCGAGGGGAAGCAGGGGCTGCCAAAAGTTTTCCGCATCTTTATTTGAAATGAATGGTTTCCAGAGACACAGGGTTAGTCCTACTGCCCTGGCATCACTACAACAAGACTGGTGAGTGGCTCACTCTCCACATGGAAACAGAGAACAGATGGCCCCGGGCCAGGGCCCAAAACAATATATACAGGCTCAATAGGAGACCCATGTACAGCTGAAGAAAACCGACCAAAACACGAGGAGGGGCAGGAGGCAGCAGCACAGCTGGGGCCAGGCTTGGGCACCCTGCTGCTGCGGGAGGGAGGGCACAGGCCAGGCAGAGCTCCTTGCTTCTGCCAGCAGCTGCCTGAGCCCACAACGGCATCAGAGGGACCCACTGATGGCACCTTCCACTGGGGAATGGGGGTTAGGCCAGGACAGGGGACAGTGGGGAAAGGGGAGCAGCGATGGCACAGACCCGTCTCCATCAATTTTCCACCAACTCAGAAAACATTAACAAAACTGAGGGAGGTGGCCCAGTGGTGTACACAGGAGGCACCCCTTTGGTGAGGCCAGGGCTGTGCCCTCATGTTCCAGCACAGGAACCTCTCCCACCCCTGGGAACAAGCCCTTTCTCTGACACAGCAGCTCTCAGGATGCCATGGGTCCTTCCCCACTGGCTCAAAACCACCATCCTGCTGCAGCAGCAGAGCTACCCTTCCTGCTGTAGCACCTGAAGCCACCTCAGGGGATGTGAAGGGAAGGGGGGAACTAAAAACCTCAGGGCCACTGGTCCCAGACAACACTCTCTCATATTGTGCAGTTTGGAGGGAGTAGTGTCAGGGCTGGGGGAAGGGGAGGACAGGACTTGGCAAGGGGAGCTGCCCCAGGGGCTCTGCCCCGCTGTGCTCTGGGGGCTGGCTCACCCAGCAGCCAGGAGAGGGGGCAGGACTGAGGTTGGGGGCCACATATGGAGGAGAGGCCTGTGATGAGCAGGATGGGATGTCCAAGTCCGGTAATGATGAAGGGACAGCACTGCTGCAGCACCATCCCCTCACACACTGCACAGCCCCCAGCCTGCAGCAGGAGTCAGAGACGTGAGGCATCCAGGGCTGGGGCATAGCCAGCCAAGCAGCACCTCCATCTTAGTCCATGTCATCCTCCAGACCACTGAGACGACTGTGCTCCTCATAGATCTCCCTCACGACCAAGATGTCGCCAGCATGCGCCGGTCCATGGGGATGACCGAGTACCAGAGCGGGGACTCTGCGATGCACGACCGTTCGGGCTGTAGGTAGAAGACATCGTTGCGGGTCCGCAGGCTCTCGGGACTGTAGAGAGAGAGGGGGACGTGAGCCCTGGGAAAGCCTGGCCTGCCCTCATGGCTATCAAGGACGGGCTCAAGGCTTGTCACAGCCTCTCAGCCTTTGGCAAGATGAGGGCACAAACTGAGGCTGCAGCTCCTCGCTCAGGACCAAAGCCCCTAACCAGCCAAGCACTAGGACTCATACCGCACACTCCTGCCTGGCTTGAGAGAGGGAAGTAGTGGAACGGGGCAGAGAGAAGCATTCTCTCAACCATGGTCTATACAAGCAGTGCAGACCCTGGGCAAGGCTTCACACCCAAGTACAAATGCTTTGGGGATCAGCAGCCACTCCTCAGGGTCCCACCAAAACTGAGGTAGCCCTAAAATGGCACATGCCATTTTTTCCAGAGAAAGCCTCACCATTTGGAGAGGTAAAACTCATAGAACTTGACTGGGCATCGAAGTGGGTTCATCCTGTTCTCCCGCTGCTCCAGCATCGGTACCTCCTCTTCACGTTTCCGCTTTCCAGAGCTACCATCTGCAGAGGAGGAGAGAGCAGGATCATGGCTGGGACCTGATGGGGGAGGCCAGGAGAGGGGCACAGAGGCGCTCTGTCAGACCCTACCTCGGCCTTTCTTCTGCTTGGCAGGAGCATAGTAGCGGATGCTCACCACCTTTGACATGCCACGTGCCGTGGTGCACTTGCGGGACTGGCGCACCACGTTGGTGAAGGAGAGCTGCATGTGCTCCTCTGCTGTCTGCAGCCCGAAGAACTTGGTGTTGAAGAACATGAGGGTGTTGAGGAGCACAAAGGGTGAGTAAACACCCAGCTGCTTGCACTCCCAGAGGTGTTCCTCCTCAACACGTGAGAAAACTGCGTCTGCAACACACAGAGGAAGAACCAGGTCACATCAACAGCGGCCTTGTGGCAATCCCTTCACCCTGCCCAGGCAAGCTAACTGCAAAAGACTGATGCTTTACAACATCCCCTTTTCCAAGAGGTTACTTCTCCAGAGCCATCAGCAGAGCTAGATGCTGGCTCTGCCAAGCCACAAGCCACCTCAGAGCACAGCCAAACTACAGGCCAGAACCCAAATCAGTCCTAACTACTCATCCCTATAGATGGCCATAAACGTATTCCAGGCCAGTGCTCCACCACACTCAGCACGAGATGAATGAAAAGCAGCAGGCAGGACAGACATGGCCAGCTCCTGCCTAGACACACAGGTCTGGAGCCAAATGCCTTTGCCCCAGACAACCAATATGCAGAGGCTGGACCTGTGAACTAACCACTGCCAAAACAGAACAGGGAAGGCAGCAGAGACCACAGCATCATGAAAAGCCTCTGCCAGGGCTCTAAGTTAGTTTGCTCACAAGGCAGCAGCACAGCAAGTCTGGCCAACACATAGTATAGTGTGAAGGGCTTACCCACGTGTTGGGAACACAAATGCATGTGCCAGCATGCCTCCAGGCTTGGTATCCTCTTTGCCAAAGGGTAGAGGCATCACTATAAAGTGTTGTAAAGATTCAAACTGCCCCAGGACACAAAGCAGCCATGCTCTGCTCCCAGCTACCCTGACTCTGGGCACAAGAAGCTGCTGAGCCATGAACAAGGCCAGCTCTGCTGTCAATATGGGTCAGCATGACCTCAGGACACAGCAGGGCTGTGCTGCCTGTACCAAGGAAGACGGCTGAGGCTGGGGGAGCACAATTAGACTGGAGGGATCCAAGCCTAGAAACAAAAACTGGGTACACGTGGTGACTGAAGGTACTCTGGAGACACATACTATTTGGTAAGATCGTGGGTTGCCAGCCACTCAGGGACTTGTTCAGCTCCTGCACGAAGGTCAGGTAGTAAAGGTCTGTAAATATATTCACCATACGATTGTTCTCGAGCAGGTACTAAAAAGGACAGAACACACAGTCAAGAGAAACATGGCAGCACCTGGAATGCCAACCCATGCCAGAGAGCCCAGAGCCCACACAGAGAGCACCCCTCCTTGTAAAACCAGAGCTGCGGGGCAGAGTCCTAAAACCAGCTGCTTCCGAGAGCTGTGAGGAAAACCCTGAGACATGGCACAGCAGGCTTGGTGCTGAAGAAGGGACTATGTTTAGGGAGATCTCCCAGCCCTCCTCAGGGACGTGCAAAGCTGGGGAATAGCTGCCACCCTACTACTGGGCTTGGGAACAAAGACTGAACGAGGCAGGCTGCTCTCCTGGGACAAGGCACTGAAGGAGAGTTCAGTGAGCCTCTCTAGCTCCCCACACTAGATCTGACCCCGAGGTCTGGCTTTGGAGGACTTTGAGGCAGCAAGCCCTCCCTCACCTGCTGAATGCCAAGGCAGAGGTAATAGATGCTGTCCGGTTCATAGCGCTCCCCATTGGGCCGTGTTATCTCCTTGACAAACTGGGCCAGGCCATAGTTGAGCTCAGCTGCTGTGCAGGCCAAGATATCTTCCTTGATCCTCATGGGCTTGGCTGAGGAGACAAGCACGGCAGCGTCAGGCAACAGCCTGCATCGCCAGGAGCACCTCAGCACCCCAGGACCCAGCTTCCGGGAGGTTTCTGCCACTTCGCCCCACCCAGACAGGGCACTTACGGCCAAAGCGCAGCTCCTCTCCCTTGCTCGTCTCTCCCCCTGCATACTTGGCTTGTACCCAGGACTTCCAGGCATTCACACCGTACGAGTAGTTCAGCACCGTGCAGCTGGGCTGGCTGCTCATTGAGTCCCGGGAACAGCTTTCAGAGAGCACCAGACGCTTCTGCCCCTGCAGAGAGGTGCACTGTGAGACTGGGCACGTGCCTGGGACAGATGCAGGAGTCCTGGACATCCCTCACACCTGCTGACTGCCAGCTCCCTCCCCACCATACCTGTGCGCATGCCAGCAAGCATCCTTGCCAGCAAGGCCCATTAGTTATGAGGACCACAGGCAGGGAAGAGGCCAGCTCTCACATGACCTGTGGCATTCAAAGCTCCTCTAAATTGACGGGCAAGCATTTTCATTCAATGACCAGCCCACAGGCCAGGCATGCCCTAAAGGGAGAGGGCACAACCTTCCCAGCACACCAAAGCCTCTGGCACACTTCACCTCATACACAGAATCATAGAATAGTTGGGGCTGGAAAGCATCATAAGATCATCCAGTTCCAACCCCCTGCCATGGGCAGGGACACCTCACACTAGACCATGTCACCCAAGAATCCGTCCAACCTGGCCTTGAACACTGCCAGGGATGAGGCATCCCAGAGAGCAGCTCCTCCACTAAGCCCAAAGAGCATTAAGCAGGCAATACCCATTAAGAGCTTACCTTTCGGACAGCACGAGGCAGATCTTGCTCTGTGGACACATCATCTGGTCCCACCAGTCCACAGTCAAATAGAAAGTCCACACTGGGGTTGATGTCTAGAGGGTCTGAAAGGAAACACAGGCAGAAGGGCTCAGCTGAGACTCCTCATCCTGTCCCCTGCACTGGCCTGGTTCTTACATCAAGATGAAAAGGCAACATGCAGCGCAACACTGCACACCCTCCTCCTCTGCCTGGCATGAACTTCTAGCCACAGTCCAACAAAGGAATTACAGCTGTCAGATGATGCTAAGCTTTCTTAGACTAACCAGAGCCCCACATTCTTCCTTCTGACAGCTTTTTTTATTCGTTCATTTTTTAAACCTGAGGAACATTCCTCATGCTCTTGTGCCAGGCCAGCATGGCACAGGCAATTCCCTGTCTTTTGCTGCTAGCATGCCTCAGCATTGCTGTGCTCCTACATGTCCCTGCCTCTTCTGCCATGTTCTGCCTGATAACGGACACACAGCAATTCTGCTGTCTCACAGAATGTCCTGTCCAGGTCTCTCTCTTGCCTCGCTGGATCCTCTGAAATCATCATCCATAAGCACACCAGCACCGCTACTCTGGTCTTAGTGCTGTTAAAAATCACCCTCTCATTCCCCCTTCTCTGCAGACCTATGTTCGTAACAGGCCGGTTAGTCTAGGCAAACACACACTCCTTCAAAAGTGGGGATCTCCTCACCCCTGCTGCAAGCAGTCATTTGCAAGAACTCACAGTTCTCAAGCCTGGTCAGTCAGAGGGCATAGGGAGGCAAATTCACACAGCTCTTAGTGCTGATGGCAATGGTCGGCCAAGGGCAGCAGGAGGATCCTGCTGCACCACGAGCAGCCCTGCTTCACCCAGCTCTTACTCTTAGGGAAGTCAGCCTCCAGGTCCTGGCCCGGCTCATCGAGAACATTTGCCATCTTGACAGCCATAGCCAACACATCGTCCCGTGCTGGTCCAAACAGATCACAGTCCTCCAGGAGACCCTCTGCACTTTGGTTACTCACCAGGTCTGCAATGCAAAAGCAGATCATAAACCCAACTTTCAAGAAGTCTTTTGTCTGTTTTCCCTGTGACAGCTGGGAAATGAAGCCAGGCTCCCTGCAGCAGAGCAGCCCCATGACACCTGCACTGCCCAGCTTTCCCTGGATAGCAAGGCATCTGACATTCTTCCTCTCCCCAGCCACAGCCCTAGTCACTGGTGCTTGAGGAATGGAGCCCCCAAGTAAAAAGACCTGTGAGGTCAGGACTGCTGGTCTTCTGTCTGTGAAGCTGCTTTAGGCAAGAGCCTAAACAGCCACCTGAATAAACAGTGCTGCACATGTGCTACAAGACTGGCATCCCCAAAAGGGACAGTGGCAGACACCACTCCCTGCTGCAGCTCTTCCCTCCTGGCACCTCCTCAGCAGAAGTGGAGGACTTGCTCTTTTCTGTTGCCTTTTCGAAGGCTTTGAAAAGCTCTGGGAGAGCCGCAATCCAGGCAGATTATCTAGCTCCAAGAGCTGGCAAACCCCACATCACCCCAGTTGTTGGGCCAGACCAAATCATGGCAGAAACCTACCGCACAGGTCTGAGGAGGCCTTGTCCAGTTCCTCAGCCTCTGCAATCATTTCAGCCATGGCTAGGATGTCAGCCTCCAGGGGATTGGAGGGGATCTTCACCTTCAGCTCCTCAATAGTCTCCACAATCTTATCTGTGTTCTCCAGCGTGGTGGGCAGGAACATTGGCACAGGTACCTGTCAACAGCAGCACACCAGGCAGAAAACTGACACTCAGCCAACTAGTGTAAAAGCAGAGGCAGGAGAAGAGGATGAAAACAGAAGCAAGGCAGATCAAGACAGTAAGGGAACATGAGCAGGTGGAGTGTGTCGCTTACCGGGACAGGCATGGAGAAAGGCACAGGTACTTTCTGGCAGTACATATGCATAGGCACAGGCACGAAGATCGGGACGGGGATTGGCAACACAATCACCTGGGGCTTCCAGTCAGCCTCTGACAAGAGCAAAAGTACATCAGTGAGCTTGCTCCCAGCAGTTCCTCTATCCAGCCCTGCTGTGCACTGCCATGCCCCAGCCATCCAGCACCAAGCCCTTCTAGGCACCAGGTTTTATGACTCTTGGGCAGAACTGGACCAGCAGCAAGCCAAAAAGCCCTGCAACAAGAGAAGCTTGGCAGAGATGCAAGCCCTGCTCTTATGTGGCCCTATTGAGAGCTGCCTTGTGTATCAAGAGAATCCCAGACTGGTTTGGGTTGAAGGGACCTTAAAGCTCATCCAGTCCCAACCTGTGCCACAGGCAGGGACACCTTCCACTAGAGCAGGCTGCTCCAAGCCCATGTGTCCAACCTTGCCTTGACACC